TTTCATCCTTCTGGGTCGGCCTTCGGTCCTCCCTTGGGATTTCTTGGACCGTGTTCCGTCCGCTCGTCGACCCTCTCTTTCGGAGACTCGTGACCTGTCCAGCAACGGCCGGTTACATGTCGACGATTATGGTTTGGTCTTGCTTGTTCGCAAGCAAACAGCGCCCCCGTCGTCCGCGACCACGCGTTCTGGCGGACGTGTTGTTCGCCTTCTTAACGATGAACCCATTCGGATTTATGTTCCCATGCTCATGCGTCCGTAGATCATGCAAGTCTGCCACGCTGATGCGTCCTGTCACCTCGGTGCGGCTCGCACGTTTAGCATGCTGGAACGTTTCTATTGGTGGATCGGCATGAGTGTTTGTACGAAATGGTGGGTGCGGCATTGTTTACGATGCCAAGCCCGCAAATCGTCTCGTCAGACTCCTCGGTGGCTTACCATGCCCCTTCCTTTGCCTTCGGGTCCTGGTGTGTCGTTGAGTGTTGACTATTTTGGTCCCCTTCTGTTGACACCGCGTGGCAACACATACATTCTGCTCTTTACAGACCTTTCAGCCGCCGTGCTGATACGTACGCGGTTACGGCTGCAGAATTCACCGGCACCGCTGACATCCTTGTCAACAGGTATATCCCTTTGTGGGGTTGCCCGTTGAGACCTTTGTCTGACAACGGCTCTCAGTATTGCTCTAAACTATCCCGAGCCGTGTATGCCCGTCTTGCTATCCGCAAAGTGGCTACTAGCTCGTACCATCCCAATGGAAATGGGGGTGCGGAGCGTGTCAACCACACTATGGCTCAGATGTTGGCTATGGTCGTCAACGAACGACAAGATGATCGGGACATTCATCTCCCGCACTTCGAGTTTGCTTACAACAACGCAGTTAGCGCCGCTACCGGTTTAGCGCCCAATGAGGTGCATATGAATCGCTTGCCTCGTTTACCGATGACTGTCCTTGAGCATCCTTACGCTCGTGGCCCCCAAAGCTTGCATCGTGATCAACTCGAATATTGCGATCTTGCTACTGATCGCCAACGTCGTTTTTACGACTTGGTGCGTGAACAGCATGACCTGTCCGTTTCGCGGATTGAGCGGCGTAATTCCACTCTGTCGGACGCTTTACATAAGCTTCCTTCTTTCACTGTTGGTGGATGGGTTTGGGTGTATAACTCCGAATCTACTATTCGGCAAGGCGTTCGTTCAGGCACAGATGATACGGTTCTCAAAGCCAAGTTATCTCCACTCTGGACTGGCCCCTTCAAATCTTGGCTGTGGGCCCGTGTTCTGACAGCCCTGACGGTCGTCCTTTGGCTTCTAAGTTGGTTTACTTGGATCTTCCGTCGGGATCGCCGGGCCAAGACTCGAAACCTCGTGTTTCGGTTGTGCGTTGCAAGCCTTGCGTCAACCCGCATGACACCGATGACCTGCCGCGCTTTCTGCCTGGTGGTCTTACTCCGTACGTCCTGAACTCTTATGCGAACAAATCTCCTCCCTACCATGTTACGGAAGACGACGTGTCGACTCCGGTTGAACGTTTAGAGGTTGAACGTATTAGTGGCCGGCCACCAGTCCGTCCGTGGCCGTGGTGGCACAATGGCTGTCTTATCTCAGACACATTGGCAAGGCCTTCTGCGCCCTTCTTGGGAGCGTGAGATGGACGTGCAGCACTCCAAGCCGCACATTCTCCGGTACTGGGCAGGTTCGCCTGACCAACATCGCCAAACAAATAGCCGTTATCGTGCGATGCGCATTGGTGCCGCTACCAGGGAATTGGCGCGGGCTCAAGGTGCGCGAGCTTTGCCTTCGGCTACTCGCTTGTTTCCCGCTCAACATGGGACCGTCGCTTCGCCAACACTCCTCTACCTGTTGGCGCCTTCTTCTAGTATATGACACGAGATGGACTCTGGTGGTTGGGCAAGATTTCTGGACCACCTCTGCCGTCCGACTTCTACGTCGTCCGCTTCTTGGACGATCCCGGACCTGTCAAGCTCGCCCTTCCCGATGTTCGCTACTCTACCGTCGCAACCGCCGTCTCCGATCCTGGTGCCTCCAAGTACACAGCGGCAGCGCCCTATTCAAGGGTGTCCTTCGCAACATCAATATGTCGCGTAGCGATGTTGTGACCGATTCGTTGCCTGATGACGTCGCGTGCCGACATTGACGACATGCTTGGTTGTTTGTGCCTTCTCTTGCTTTTAACGTTGGCTTTTTTTCTCCTTTTTTTCGTCTCTGTGTTTTTAGCGACGATTACAGACTGTTCATATCTCGTAACCTTCCGACGGCATTTGTTTCCCATTTCTTCGTCGTTCCGACGGCGTTTCTTTCGTTTCCTTCTTTCTTTCATTCATTCATTCTTGCGCTTTTCTCCTGGGTTCCGACCTGTTTCTAGTGCCTTTAGAGTTCTCTTAGCCTGAGTCGTTCCTTTTTTTGTACCTTTTTTGAACGGTCAAACGATGGTCTTGCGACTTATCGAGTGAGAGGTGTGGGAGGGTGAATT